GGGTTCAAGTTTCATCAACAGACTATTCCTTGAATAGTCTATTAGAGTAGGTAAGTGTCTGACATTCCGTTTTGAAAACACAGAAATCTCTCCTTTGTGACACTGTAGTATCAAATGAAAACAGCAGGTTATAAAGAATCACAATCCCATTGATATACAATTATCAATGCACATAGAGGGATCTGAAGACTGATCATCTAATATCCATAGTGGAAATATCTGTGTAGTGGGATTTTGGATAGTTTTACTTTCAACCGTATGGTTTTTTGTGTGATTTTTCAATCAAAATAAAACTCAGGGCCCAGACTGCTGGATTCATTTTTCAACTTTTCACCTTATTAGCTCAGTGACATTGTGCAAGTTACTTAATGTCTCTGTGTCTCAATGACCTCACCTGCGAATGGGAATAATGACAGTTTCTACCTCAAAGTGCTTTTGCAAGGAGGGCTAAATGCATCAGTAGGCACAGGCACTCAGAACAGTGCATGGAACACAGCAAGTCATCAGGGACCATCCGCCAGCAAGAGAAGCAGAAGCTGACGCTAAGCCAGCTATCTGAAAAAGTGACTTATTGTGCTCATTAAAGGCAGCTGCAAAAGCAACTATTTCATAGCCAGAGGTAAAAAGGGAAACAAGAAACTCTCTCTGCTTAAGTTTACATAACAATACAAACAAAAAACTAGCACATCTACTACAAGTTACACACCCATATATCAAGAAGTGAGGTCTCTAAGTAGACATTTTTCCTTGAATGAGTCACTTCATTTGAGGAATAGGCAGGCACAGCTGACGGAGTTAAAGAGGTGCCCCAGGCAGCTGCTTCCCATGCACAGAAGTCTGTACTCTCAATTCAGCAGAATAATAGAAGACATTCTAATGAGGTTAGCATTTGTAGGTCAGAATATTCATCCTAATTTATTTCTTAAAACTGTTTAAAATGTATTTTTTAAAGAAAATGTTTTATTTAAATATTTAATATAACTTTAATTAATATTTACTTTAGCATTCTGAAGGTCTTTTAAAGCATGTATTCTAAAGCGGAATTCATAAAGGACAAGATTTATTGATTTGAGCCTAACAAACAAGTTTGAGCATTAGAAATCTAAAATAGAAATTAAAATATAAATAACAAATGGAGACACTATGTATAATTTAATGTTAAGAGATTCTTACAAATTACCAGTGAAAAAAAGTGGGTAAAGCTATAATGATTCAATTATTAAGATCAGAAATGAAATAGCTAAAAAAATATGAAAAAAGTTTAAAGTCATCAGAAAGCAAATACAAATTTCTTAAAGGATTATTTTTTCTTTCTCCTTTTAGTATGTTATAATACTAACTTTGGGTAAAAGTGAAAGAACATTAACAGTGAAACACTGTGGATTCAAATAACAGGTGGATTTTACAGTATTTATCAGAGACTCTGAACTAGCAATTCCACATCTACAATTTTAGATTAGGATTATGTGCATATTTTAGCATGCTTCTTTTAGCTTTATTATTATTATTATTATTATTATTATTATTTATTTCAGTAGATTTTTGGGAAACAGGTGATGCTTGGTTACAAGAGTAAATTATTTAGTGGTGATTTCTGAGACTTTGGTTCACTTATCACCCAGGCAGTGGATATTGTATGCAATTTGTAGTCTTTTATCCCTCACCCCAACTCCCACCATTTCCTGCAAATCCCCATTTCCTGCAAAGTCCACTGTACCATTCTTATGCCATTGCATCCTCATAGCTTAGCTCTCATTTATGGGTGAGAACATATGATGTTTAGCTTTTTATTCCTGAGTTACTTCACTTAGAATAATGGTCTCCAATCTCACCCAGGTTGCTGCAAATGTCATTATTTTGTTCCTTGTTATGGTTGAGTAATATTCAGTAGTATTCTATGGTATATATATATATATATATATATATATATATATATATATGTATTTTATTTTTTTCTTTATACATTCATTGACTGATGGGGATTTAGGCTGGTTCCATATTTTTGCAACTGCAAATTGTGCTGCAATAAACATGGATGTGTAAGTATCTTTTCTGTGTAATGACTTTTTTTCCTCTGCATAGATGCCCAGGAGTGGGACTGCTGAATCAAATAGTAGATCTACTTTTAGTTCTTTAAGGAATCTCCATACTGTTTTTCATAGTGGTCGTACTAGTTTACAATCCCATCAAGAGTGTAAAAGTGTTCCCTTTTCACCACACCCATGCCAACATCTACTATATTTTAATATTTTGCTTATGGTTGTTCTGTTCATTGGCCATTTGTATAAATTCTTTTGAGAAGTGTCTATTCATGTCCTTATCCCACATTTTGATGGGATTGTTTGTTTTGTTCTTGCTGATTTTGTTGAGTTCCATGTAGATTCTGGATATTAGTCCTTTGTCAGATGTATGGACTGTGAAGATTTGCTCCCACTCTGTGGGTTGTCTGTTGACTCTGCTGATTATTTCTTTTGCTGTGCAGAAACTTTTTAGTTCAATTAAGTCCCATCTATTTATTTTTTGTTGTTGTTGCATTTGCTTTTGGGTTTTTGGTCATGAAGTATTTGCCTAAGCCAATGTCTAGAAGGGCTTCTTCAGTGTTATCTTCTAGAATTTTTATGGTTTCGGGTCTTAGATTTAAGTCTTTGATCAATCTTCATTGATTTTTTATAGGGTAAGAGATTATAATCCAGTTTCATTCTCCTATATGTGGCTTGCCAATTATCCCAGCACAATTTGTTGGATAGGATGTCCATTCCCCACTTTATGTTTTTGTTTGTTTTGTCAAAGATCAGTTGACTGTAAGTATTTGGCTTTATTTCTGGGTTCTCTATTCTGTTCCATTGGTATATATGCCTATTTTTATACCAGTACCATGCCATTTTGGTGACTATGGCCTTATAATATAGTTTGAATTCGGGTAATGTGATGCCTTCAGATTTGTTCTTTTTGCTTAGTCTTGCTTTGGCTATGTGAGCTCTTTTTCAGTTCCATGTGAATTTCGGGACTGTTTTTTTCTAGTTCTGTGAAGAATGACAGTGGTATTTTGATGGGAACTGCATTGAATTTGTAGATTGCTTTTGGTAGTATGTTCATTTTCACAATATTGATTCTACTCATCCATGAGCATGGGATGTGTTTCCATTTGTTTGTGTCTATGTCTATGATTTCTCTCAGCAGTGTTTTTAAAACGTCTTAATCTACAAATATGAGAACTTTTGTTTTAAAAGGGAATTTAAATAAAATGAAAATTATATAAACTGCCATTTGATTAGTTAGGAGAGGATAATGAAAATTATAGATTATCCTGAATCCTGGATTCTTCCTTTTAGAGAAAGAGACAATAAACAGATCAACAATTGAATTAAGGCCAGGAGCAGTAGCTCACACCTGTAATCCCAGCACTTTGAAAGGTCAAGGCAGGAGGGCCAACTGAGCCCAGGAGTTCAAGATCAGCCTGGGCAACATAGAAAGACTTTGCCTCTACACAAAAGATTTTTTAAAATTTAGCCCAGTGTGGTGGTGAGCACCTATGGTCCCTGCTACTCAAGAGGCTAAGGTGAAGGATCCCTTGAGCCCAGAAGGCTAAGGCTGCAGTGAGCTGTGGTTGCACCACTGCACTCCAGCCTGGGTGTCAGAGCAAGACCCTGTCTCAAACAAAAAGTGAATTAAATAATATATTAGAAGATGATAAAAAAAACTGTGGAGAAAAGTGAAGCAGGAAGTGAGTGGAGTAGGGCAAGAAAAGGAGGTGGTGACATTTTAAACAGGGAGGTAGAGAAGGTAACATTTGAGTTTGGATCAGACAAGGGAAAATTCTACCAATTTTACTCCATAATCATCAACTCTGATAATTTTGATCAGGCTAACAGCTCTTGGCTAAGACAAGGTATTGCTTATCTCTGCTTGGCTATCTGTTTCAACTTTTATATTATGGCTGACACCTGTAATCCCAGCACTTTGGGAGGCCAATGTGGGAGGATCACTTGAGACCAGAAGTTCAAGACCAGCCTGGACAACATAACGGGACCCCTGCTCTACAAAAGAAAAAAAAAATCAGCCAGGTGCAGTAGCTTGTGCCTATAGTCTCAGCTACTCAGGAAGCTGAGGCAGGAGGATCCCTTGAGCCCAGGAGATCAAGGGTGCAGTGCACTCCAGCCTGGAAAACACAATAAGGTACAGCAACTTTTATAATATATGCTCTAGTTATTATGCAACTATTCTGTGATACTGTGTTAGTATTCATCCTTTCCCTTTTTTGAATCTAAAGACATGACCTTCTAAAATACATAGTCTTCTCTGTAAGTATTTCCAGCAAATAAAGAGAATTAGGAGTAAGACAGAAGTCATCTGCTGTTTTGGATAACCCAGCATCCATTGACCCATTTTTCCAGTAAGAGATCCCAGATTTTCCCAGGGGCGCTAAGCCTACCTGACTTCCAGACAGCGGGGTTCAGGTGGGGCTGACACCAGCCCCTGCCTCTAGGGGGTCAGAGTACTACCAAGTCCCACCAGTAGGGGCACCAAATCCCCCAGAACACTGTACCACCTGAAGTTCAGGAGCGGACACAGGGCCTACGGCAGGCCAATGAGAACTCAGAGGCACTAAGGTGTATGTTACCACTTGCAGAAGAGGTGCGTGCTCACCTGGTAGTTGCTAAAAAGGCTGAAGGTAGGTGCAGACATGCTTTGGGGACCAGAGTGAGAATGAGTCTGCCTAAAAATGAACTGAATCAAGGGTGTAACCACAATTGTACTAAATGGAAAGAAACAAACAGAGATGGGCTCCTCTCACAACACATTTGGGGGACTTGAACTCAGCTCCGCCTCACCCTACGTACCCCCTTAGACTTTTCACATAGCTAATGAGTACATTTCTTTTTTGCTTACATTATTTCAAGCTAGGTTTCTGTCACCTGCAACCAAAGTCTTGTCTAATGCAAACAAACCAGAAGCTGATCTTATTTTCACTGGAAAGCCAAAAAACAGCATCTACTCACCCGTTCCTGACCAGCAGTGTCCCAGATGAGGAACTTGTGAAGTTCATTTCCACAAGGCACAGTTTTGGTCATAAAAGATGCCCTGAAAAAGAGAGTCAACATCTTCACATTATTGCACTGTTTCTTTACAAAGATTGACCAGTCAAGCAAGTTAAATGCTACACCTCAGCAGAACCCCAAAAGGCCTGGTCCTTGGAAACCACTGAGAGGAGAAAAGGGCTAGAAGACTCATGACACCCAAAAGAAAATACTCTGCATTTTCTTGTTAGTCCACCTAGGGGCTTTGAAACAGAACAAAAGAGGCATTCAAAAGCCTGTGTTTCTGGCCAGGTATGGTGGCTCACACCTATAATACCAGCACTTTGGGAGGCCGAGGAGGGCAGATCACAAGGTCAGGAGTTCGAGACCAGCCTGGCCAACATGGTGAAACCCCATCTCTGCTGAAAATATAAAAATTTAGCTGGGTGTGGTGGCAGGTGCCTGTAGTCCCAGCTACTCGGGAGGCTGAAGCAGGAGAATCACTTGAACCCAGGAGGTGGAGGTTGCAGTGAGCTGAGATTGCACCACTGCACTCCAGCCCGGGTGACAGTATAAGACTTTGTCTCAAAAAAAAAAGTAAAAAATAAAATAAAAATAACACAAAAATTAGCTGTGCGTGGTGGTGGGCGCCTGTAGTCCCAGTTACTCGGGAGGCTGAGGCAGGAGAAACATTTAAACTCAGGAGGCGTGGGCTGCAGTGAGCCAAAATATCACCACCGCACACTGGCCTGGGTGATAGAGAAAGACTCTGTCTCAAAAACAAACAAACAAAAGACTCTGTTTCTAAAATCAATTAGCTTCAATTATTCAAAAACCCCCAGATCTCAGAAAAGAACACAACCTTGGATTTAAAAAACTTATTACAATAATTAAGAGTGAAAATGGCAGCTGGTATGTTGGCATGTTATGGTTTTGACCTTACAATGGCACACACAAAAAATGTTGCCTTAACATGTTTACTACGCTGATATGAATCCAACACTAGTAGCAACTAATAGAATGCTACATCTAAGTCCCAGCCTGCTTGCATAAATGCAAGGACGAAGATTGGAAGCCTAACACATATTTATGTTTTCTTTATAAAAAAGGAAAGACTTTTTCCCTCCCTTTTGAGTCCAAAAGGAGGATTTTAAAGCCTCAGTAGATCATGAAACACTCATATTTTCTTTTTTGCATATTTCCTTTGAAAAAGCATTTTCTTTGTACACATGAAGGGTATACAGATACAAAGAATGTTCAATAGTCCTGACTTTCATAAGACAAAGTTTCCTATTCATTAAAAAATTGCAAGCATCCCCAATAGTGGGACAACCTGATGTGTTGTCAGCCTCCTTAAGTGATGGAATAAGTAGATACATCACTTATACAGCGTTCTGACCACAAATGTTTAGTCTGAATTTAACTGTAAGAAAACAATCAGGCAAATGTAGAATGTGAAACATTTTGTAAGGCAAGCTGGCCTGAATGCTTCAAATAAGTCAATGTCATGAAAAGCAAACCAGAAAAATGCAGGGAGATTCTTCTAGAATCTAGATTGAGAGGAAAGAGGTTAAACAACCAAAAGCAATATATAAACCTTGGCTGGATTCCAGATTAGGGCAAAAACAGCTTTAAAATATATCTGGCCAGGTGTGGTAGCTCTTTCCTGTAATCCTAGGACTTTGGAAAGCTGAAGCAGGAGGATGGCTTGAGGCCAGGATTTCGAGACCAGCCTGAACAATACAGCAAGACTCCTTCTTTACAAAAAACAATTTTTTAAATCAGCTGAGCACTATGGCGCAAGCCCGTAGTTCTGGCAGCTCGGAAGACTAAGGCAGAAGGACAGCTTGAGCCCAGGAGTTTGAGGCTGTAGTAAAGAGCCAATATTGCCCCAATCCACTCCACTCTGAGTGACAGGGCAAGACCCTGTACCCCTCATCCCCCAATTTCAAGGACAATTGAAAATTTTTAAATTCACGCTATAGACAAGATATTATCATTTATTTGAATTAACTTTCTAGGTATGATCATGCTGTCCTCATTATGTTCTTATTCTTAGGAGATGAACCCTGGAGTTTTAGGGATAAAGAGTCAGGGGTTCTTTCCCTTCCTTTCATATGGTCCAGACTGGTCCACTAGCATCATCACAGTAATATTTCCTCAGCCTCTACATTTTCTAAGAATAAGAGGCCAAATACAGAAGTCTCAAGTAGAAAAGTCTACTGCAATTCCCACACTATCCCCACAACAAACCAAAGGCTAATAATAGTTAGAGAGTTCTAATTGTCAACCTACAGTTGCACTAAGTTGAAATTCTAAGTATTCTAAGTGATAAGATCCAGTATTATTAAAGCCACATTTATTCCTTTATTTCTTTAAAAGTGTTTAAAATGTATATCCAGACTACTAGGAAGAGCCAATAAATTCCAAAAATGTTAATATCTTTATTACATTTCCCATTTTAAAAGTAACATATGTATTTCATTAAAAAGAAACTCAAAAAATGAAAAGGAAATAAAAACCAACCATATTTCACCACCCAGTCATAATCACTGCTAATAAATTGGCATATGTCCTTCCCAATTATTTTTATACAACTTTTAAAATGGAATTATTCATTCAGTTCTTGTTTTCCTTCTATTTTTAGCTGATACTCAATAATCATGCATCTTATGGGATGCAGAGTGATATGTACATACATATATACAATCCATAATAATCAAATCAGGGTAATTAGCATATTCATCTTCTTGAACATTTATCATTCCTTGGTGTTGTGAACATCCAAAATCCTCTCTTCTAGATTTTCGAAAATGTACACTAAAATATTGTAGCCATAATCATCTTACAGTGCTACAGAACACTAGAACATTTTCCTCTCATCTAGCTATAACTTTGTTAAACAACTTCTCCCTATCCTTCCCTCCCTGAACACTTCCCAGCTTCTAATAACCACAATTCTACTATACTTCTATAAGCATTTTTTTTTTTTTTTGCTCTCGCATATGAGTGAGAACATGCAGTATATATCTTTCTGTGCCTGGCTTATTTCACTTAACATAATGTCCTCCAGGTTCATCCATGTTGTCATGAATGACAGGATTTCATTCTTTTTAATGGCTTAATAGTATTCTAGTCTACATGTATATCACATTTTCTTTGTCCATTCATTCATTTTTGTTTTTGTTTTGTTTTTTTGAGACAGAGTCTCACTCTGCCACCCAGGCTGGAGTGCAGCGGCGAAGTCTTAACTCACTGCGACCTCTGCCTCCCAGGTTCATGTGATTCTCCTGCCTCAGCCTCCCAAGTAGCTGAGATTACAGGCATGTGCCACCACACCCAGCTAATTTTTGTGTTTTTCTTTAGTAGAGATTCGGTTTCACCATGTCGACAAGGCTGGTCTCAAACTCCTGACCTCAGGTGATCCACCCTCCTCAGCCTCCCAAAGAGCTGGCATTACAGGTGCTAGCTACTGTGCCAGCCTCCACTCATTTGTCGATGGACACTTGGGTTGATTCCATATCTTGGCTGTTGTGAATAGTGCAGCAATAAATCTGTGAGTGTGAGTATTCCTTTGGTATACTGATTCCCTCTCCTTTGCATGAATACCCAGCAGTAGAACTGCTGGACTGTAAGGTTGTACTATTCTTAGCTTTTCTGAGAAACCTCCATGCTGTCTTCAATACTGGCTGTACTAATGTACACAGTGTTTAATTTACCAACAGAGCACAAGAATTTCCTTTTCTCTTCATTCTTTCCAGCATTTACTTTTTTCTTAATTGTTAATGATAGCCATTCTAACTGGAGAGAGATGATATCTCCCTGTAGTTTTGATATGCATTTCCCTGATAATTAGTGATGTTGAGCATTTTTCCATCTAAGTATATGGCCATTTGTACGTCTTCTTTTTAGAAATGTCCATTCAGATTCCTTACCCATTTTAAACCAATTTACTTGGGTTTTCTTTGCTGTTGAGTTGTTTGAGTTCCTTGCATTTTCTGGATTTTAGTCTCTTGTATTTCAAAGCTCAAGTTGAAAGTCATAAGTAGTAAAGTAGCCTTTTCAAGACACCTCAAATAACTGAAGAAAATATTTTATAACCTCTTCAAAGATAACTGGCCACTGCCCAACATCCTGGTACCTTCGATAGACATCATGTTATGAGTTTTAACATGTTTTGACTTGTAATTGTTCTGCAGTGTGAAATGTCAAAAGTTAATCTCAGAGAACTAAAGACTGAGTCACTCTTCATCTGACTCCTCTGATGTTCTACAGTTTTGATCTACAGTTCTACAGGTGACAGCCTCAGCAGACACATTACAGTTCTGTGGTTTCATTAAAAATACTTATTTCCATGTCTAGTGAGTGTGAAATCTGTATAAAGCCTCTGCTACATACATTACAATTATATAATTTTTCTTTAGTATGGTCTTTGATGTCAATTAATGCTTGAACTCATGATGAAGGGTTTGCTATACTCATTGTGTTTGTAAGGATACTCCCAAGAATGAATTCTTGGATGTTGTGGGAGAAGTGAATTGTGCATGAAGACCTTGCCGCACTCATTTCATTTGTAAGGCTTCTCTCCAGTATGGATCACCTGATGGTAAGTGCTGACTGCACACCGAAGGCTTTGCCATACTCATTACACTCCTAAGATTCGTCTCCGGTACGAATTCTCCAATGTCTTGTAAGATGTGAATTGTGACCGAAAACCTTGTCACATTCATTACATTTGTAGAGTTTCTCTCCAGTATAAACTCTCTCCAGTGATGTGTGAGGTTTATTTTTGACTAATAACCTTGCTACATAAACCACATTTATGTCATTTCTCTCTGGAATGGATTACCTAATATACAGCATAGAGTGAGTCATATAATTAAAGGTTTTGCCACACTCATCACACTTGGAAGGTTTTTCCTAATGTGTGCTTTCTGTTCTTGCATAAGGAAGAGTAGATTAAGTGAAGTTCCATATTTGTTAGAAATATGGATTTGGGTTTAGAAGGAATTCTTTGGAGTGGTGAAACTGAGGGACCGTTGCTGATAGACTTTTCAACTTGAA